AATTTTTTATTTCCTTTTTTCCTGTGAAATGGTTTCTAACTTTACATCAGATTCTCAGAGGGGTTAGTAGACCTATTGGTTAAGAACTACTGTTGTAGTTCTTCAGGAACATAATAATTTGATGCAATATAGTATTTTATTTTTTTGGTCACTGTTGGTTCATTTGGAAGCATATAAAAAGGTTTTGAAATAGTGTATTTAAAAAAATTATAAGAAGATCATTAATTGCATCTTCAATTATGTGTTGTGATGATTCTTTTTTTATTTGATGCAAACACTTAAACATTGTTGTGGTGAAAAGGGGTAACAAAAACATACCTTTTCTTTTCTCTCTTAAATTCGCAAATGCCTCTAACCATTGTATTCTTAAACTCTTTATAACTTGTGTTTGGCTAATATTTAAAATATCTGAGCACAACAGTGACATTTTCAATAAACTATAAAACAGCTATCAAGAAAAATGTGACTTTTTTAAAAAAAATAGTTTTTTTGATAGCTGTCTGCAACACAGAGCTAAAATCAGTCAAAGTAACCTATCTCTCTGGCCAACAGTGGCCCAGAAAAGTACCTGGTATAGTAAATTAATTGCCTGGAAAACTGTCAGATTATCACCTTTGGAATTATCTTTAGAGCTAGAATATGTATAGTCTGAATATCAGAAATTGAAGTATTCTTACTCATTCAATAAACAAATTGGCTTACAAAAGTTTTTGTTAGGTCTGTGGAAGATACAAAGAGAATACATCTCTACTCTGAGTTTATATACTTATGAAAAAATAGAATATCAAGATCAGTAGCATAAGTACAAGTGTAGTACTTTGAATGACAGAGAGAAATGGGTTGTTGGGGGGAAGCTTCATAAAGAAGGTAGTGGTCAAGCTGAGCTTTCAAGGGTGAAAATAAGAGTTGGAAAGCCTACGGTCTACATGAAGCTCTTCTGGTTGAAGAAAGTCATGAACAAAGGTTTGTGTGAAAAGCATTCCAGAACAAAGAACAGCAAAGAATATATAAAAATGCATGGCCTTTGTAAGAGATGGCTAAATGTCATAGTCAACTAATGTGAAGAATTATAAAAGGGCAAAATGAGCTGATGTGGATGGTTGAATTGGGACAGATTTTAAGGTCTTGAATATGTGTCAATGGGTTTGGACTTAATTGAGCTCATTTATAGGTGAAATGAGGACTGTTTTCTTATAATTATGTGTACTCACTGTTTATTCAGTTCAACTAATTAATAAGAACCATTAGATCGGTACTGTCCATTATAGTAGCAACCATAAAATTTATATATAAAATTTTTTAATTAATATAAATTACCACATGTAGTGAGTGGCTACCATAATGGACAGCACAGTGAATGAAATTTCTTTCTTTTCTTTTTTTTTTTAAAAGATGGCCGGTAAGGGGATCTTAACCCTTGACTTGGTGTTGTCAGCA